TTTCCAGCCCCCAGAACCCCCTGCACCCTGTCCCAGGCACCTGCCTGCTCTGCCCCCTAAAGATGGGCACACTTCTCCCTTCTGACCCTGTGGTAGGGCCGACTTGGCTTTCACCTTCTGCAGTGTACACACACACATGCACACATGCACAATTGAAGGGGCTAAAGGTGTCTTATCTCTGTTATCCAAATACAATTTTAAAATTATAGAGGAAGTGACTTTTAGAAGAACGCTGAGCATTGCCGTTGGAGTCTCAGAGGGTGCTTGGCAGTGTCAGTAGCAAGGGCAAATGTTTTTAGTACCTGTTGACACGGATTTAGATTTAGGAGTAGCCCATGTGGGAATCACAGCCACGTGCACTGCCCGGTTTGAGAAAAGATGGAATCTCAAGGACAAAGCTTCCAGATTTTTTTTTTTTTTTTTTTTTTTGAGACGGAGTTTCACTCATGTTACCCAGGCTGGAGTGCAATGGCGCGATCTTGGCTCACCGCAACCTCCGCCTCCCGGGTTCAGGCAATTCTCCTGCCTCAGCTTCCTGAGTAGCTGGGATTACAGGCACGCACCACCATGCCCAGCTAATTTTTTGTATTTTTAGTAGAGACGGGGTTTCACCATGTTGACCAGGATGGTCTCGATCTCTTGACCTTGTGATCCACCCGCCTCGGCCTCCCAAAGTGCTGGGATTACAGGCTTGAGCCACCGCGCCCGGCCCCAGATTTTTTTTAATTAATTTTTTTGAGACAGAGTCTCTCTCTGTTGCCCAGGCTGGAGTGCAGTGGCGTGATCTTGGCTTACTGCAGCCCCCACCTCCCAAGTTCAAGCGATTTTCCTGTCTCAGCCTCCCAAGTAGCTGGGATTACAGGCATGCACCACCACATCTGGCTGATTTTTGTATTTTTAATAGAGACAGGGTTTCACCATGTTGACCAGGCTGGTCTCAAACTCCTGACCTCAGGTGATCTGCCCACCTTGGCCTCTCAAAGTGTTGGGATTACAGTCATGAGCCACTGTGCCCAGCTGCTTCCAGACCTTTTTTTTAAGTAAGTCCATGCGATTGTGTTTCTGATCAATGGACCCACACACATTTACATTGAACATATTTATGTCTACATATGTGTTTATATAAAACAGCAAATTCATTTCTTGAATAATTAAATATAGACAAAAACCCAATGGTTAGGAAAAGCTTCCCAGACAGCATAGTCTGGGGTGATATCAACATTTTAAACCTATTAGTATGTAAATATTCTAAATATTATGAGTAATTAACGATTACAGTCACAGAAGAACAGCTCCATCCCGTGACATTCTACCCATTTTCTTTTAGTTGTTTTTTAGGGGTTAGGAATGGAGAGAGGGTTCCTCCACTCACACAGACCCTCCCAGCTTTTTTCCCCTCTAGAAGCTCTTGTGAGCTCACTCAGCTTGCTGCAGACTTGTGTGGGGATGGACTTTAAGATGTCTCAGATGGCCCGGGCTGGGTGGCTCATGCCTGTAATCCCAACACTTTGGGAGGCTGAGGTGGGTGGATCACAAGATCAAGAGACGGAGACCATCCTGGCCAACATGGTGAAACCCCGTCTCTACTAAAAATACAAAAATTAGCTGGGTGTGGTGGCACGTGCCTGTAATCCCAGCTACTTGGGAGGCTGAGGCAGGAGAATCGCTTGAACCAGGGAGTCGGAGGTGGCAGTGAGCTGAGATGTACGCCACTGCACTCCACCCTGGAGACAGAGCAAGACTCCATCTCAAAAAAAAAAAAAAATAATGCCTTGGATGGCAGTTGTCACACTAGCTTTTTGCCCACCCAAACAATTCATTTAGGGATGACTTTAAGTAAGGTGCCCAGAGATTCCACCCATCCTTGGGGACATCGAGCAAATAGCAGGAACAGCAGTTGGCAAATTTGTGGCTGTTTGTGTAGCCAGTTTGCATTTTCAAGATGGGGGAGACATGGGCAGATGTTACAAAGTTGTCCCTTCCCTTCCCCTATTCCTCATGCTGCTGCTCCTCCCCCTCCCCCCTCCCCCAAGTCAGATGCTTTTTGTTCTTCATTAAATAAGTTTTCCCTTATTCTTACGGGTTACCCTATAGTTTTAAAGTAGGCTGTGCATTTTAGAACAATATACTTATAAATCATTTCCATTTCTGTGTGGAAGCAGGACGGACATAACAGTTATAGGTAGAGGGGAAATAGGACTAATATTAAAAAAATAGCAGAGTTTAAAAACTGCTATGAGTTATTGGATGATGTGACTTCGTTTGATTGTGTAATTAATGTGGTAGAGCAATAATTAAACGGACAGAAGAATTTTAGCAGTTAACAACGCCAAATAGTCATAGTTTATACACCCTGTCTATAGTCTGATGAGAAGCTTTGTTGTAAAAATATTCTCTTTACTCATGAACTGACTCTTCCTAGATTCCAAGTAGGAATTAGAACAAACATTCATTTGTGTTTGAAGTTTCATAAAATAGGGGTTTTAATAACATATTTGACTTGTCTTAGAAACTTACTCAAATCTTCCCTTGGCATGGAAAACATTATAGAAAATGTCTGCAAATCTCTCACAGCATCCATCCTAGTCCTGTTTAATTCTGACATCTGTGCATTTCTTTTTTTTTTTTTTTTTTTTTTTT